CAACGGGCACCCCAGCTCAGAGGCTCAGCAGCTCCCCAACAATCTCTTCTGACCCTGAAGCTGAACCAAAGTAAAGCCGTGAGTCTCCCCTCCCCCGGCACATCCTCCTCTGTGGAAGGATGGACACCTAAATACCTCCCTCGAGGGGCCAGGACCTAGGATGGCCTCCACCCTCTGTCGGAGTCTCCACGGCCTAGGGCCAGGTCACAATCATGCCACCCTGGGCATCGCCGCCACAAAATGTCTGTAAGCTTTACTTTGAAACGTCCCAACACTGACTTTCCGGCTCCTAAAAGGGTAGCCAGCTGGGCCAGCCGAGCCAGGAAGCCTGGAGCACAGCTGAGACGCCATGGCCACCGTCTGGTCCTAGTGTGCACGGCTCCCTTCACAAGCAGCCTCATTCACCAAAACATGTTATTCCCCAACACAGAAGATTTCCATGAAGTATCAGGGCAGGGCTGGTCACCGCCATGGGGGCAGGGCACGGTGGCTGGGCTCTTGGCCGTAGCTCAGGATAGAAAACAGCTCTAATTTTTGGAATTCAGGATAAGAGGTGAATAAGAAGTATCAAAGCTCAGAGACCGTTGAGAAGTGCAGGGATGGTGCTTGGAACGTGGGCTCAGACACGTGCATGTGTCACACCACCTGTCAGCCACTGTTACATTCCACCTGGACGTGAAGAGACAAATGAAATATATGCCTCAAGACTAATCAACGGATGCAGTCTCGTGGCAGGGGCTGTCCAGAGGCCATAGCTGGAAAGGTGAGAGGCTCCAACTTTGGGGATTTTATGAAGTTATCTACAAATCCTTACGGGACAGCCAAGTGCCTGGCACCGGGTCTGAAGCTCGGCATCTTAGCCCTTGCTCAGAGGCACAGGTCAATGCCATCAGACACAGCGGCGCTGGCCCTGGCCAGCAGCACTCCAGTCAGGATCTGTGGGGAGGGGAAGGCCAGAGCACAGAGGAGGCATGTGAGCCAAGGCAGGAGCAGGACAGCCTCTGAGATCCAAAGCCACGCTCTGGTCACACCATGGCTAGAGATGGTCATGGACTCCACAGGACTGAAGGCTTAAATGGGAATCTGCAGGGGAAACCCAAGATGCGGGAGGACGGTGGCCAAGGCAGCCCCAGGGCAGTGGCACCTGCACGACACGTAACCCCAGCACCGCATGCTTCTCCCGCACGGACGGGAGGCCCCAGACACAGCTCCCCACTTGTGCTGCCTTAACACACCACAGGTTTCCTAGTCAGATCAAACCTGTGTCTGTCCTTGTGAAGGGCGGATTTTTAAAAATTTCTGCCGTGGGGGCCTGGGCAAGGGGCAGAGATTTGCTTGTGGCCACTGGTGGCTGGGAAGCAGAGGCGGCACAGGCCCACGATGGCAAGTGGGAACTGTCCCACTGCAAGATCCTTCCGTACCAGCGCTGCCAGGGTGACACCCTCAGACGCTACCCAGCATGAGCCGGGGCCTCGGGAATCAGCCTCAATCCCACATAGAGGCTGCTTGATGCGGGCTCTCAGCCCCAGCCAGCCACAGAGCCCCAGGTGAAGGAGTGCAAATGGAGTGAAAGCCACCGGGGCGCTGGAGGAGCAGCTGCTGGAGCGCAGGACCTCGGCCCACCCCTCCTGACTCCCAAGTGCCACAGACAGCGGCTGGCAAGTGAAGGGAGACAGGCTCTCGGCCATAGTGCTGACTTCAGACGAGAACAAGTGACCCAAGGCAGGAAACACAGAAGGAGCCACCCAGGGGAAGAACTCGGAGAACATTCCAGAGCAGAGAGCAGCACCAGCCTGGGCCAGGAGGGGCCACATGCTCCAGGAAGGTAAGGGAACCAGAGTGGCCGGAGCAGGGAGTGTAGGGCAGAGGAGTGACAAGGAAGGGTGGAGAGCCGAGCAGAGCCCAGTCACCCAGGCAGAGAGCAGGTGCCCATGCCCAGCTTGGTCCGAGCTAAACCAGCACAAGCAGAGGGCACGAGCTGAGAGGGTACGGGCAGAGGGCACGAGCTGAGGGGGCATGGGCAGAGGGCACGAGCTGAGGGGACAAGCAGCTGATTACAGGGCTGCTCAATAATCCAAAAACAGCAGAGGACCTGGGGTAGGTACGGCCTACATGAGACCCACTGTCTTTGAAGTTCCCAGGGTTCCTAGCACAGAGGCTCATTTAACTGGAACTCTGGTCAGATGGAGGTGGTCTCTAGTGACAGCAAGCATCTCTGGACTTGGGACCTGGAGATCACAAGCAGAGGACCCGAGGCAGGCAGCAGGAAGGGCCGCAGCTTCCCCCATGGGCCTCCCCGACCATCACCCACACCGGGACTCGGGCAATGCAGGGCCAGTGCGCGGGTGGTGCAGGGACAGTGAGCAGAGGCTCTCAGCTGGAGCCACCACACTGCTTCCCTCATGGGCCTCCCCGACCGTCACCCACACCGGGACACAGGCAATGCAGGGCCAGTGCGCGGATGGTGCGGGGACGGTGAGCAGAGGCTCTCGGCTGGAGCCACCACGCTGCCAAAGACTCCTGCAGCCTCTCGCAGGCGTAACAGTGCTAAGCCGTACTTAGCTGAGCTCTCCGTGGTGAGATATTTTTAAAGTGAACACTCAACAAGAATTCAGAGTTGTTTTTCAAACAATGAGTCAAAATCATGTCAAAGTATCACTGAGACCCTCCAGGAGGGATGACGTGGGCTCCCCGTGCCCACACCGAGAACCTCCCTGACTTAGGGTGAGAGCCAGCTCTGGGGGAACTGCCGCCCAC